TGGCCAGCTCCTTTCATTATCCCTGTGTATACACAAATACACAAATACTCACATGTACACCCAGATACACAGACACGCAGAGACATACAGAGGCATACACGCATACACACTTCTCAAAGATCACTGGTGATCTCTTTTTCAAATTCTTTAAAACTTTTTTTAAAAGACTTTATTATTTATTCATGAGAGACAGAGAGAGGTAGAGACATAGGCAGAGGGAGAAGCAGGCCCCATGCAGGAAGCCTGACGTGCAACTCCTACCCAGGACCCCGGGACCACACCCTGAGCCAAAGGCAGACACTCAACCACTGAGCCACCAGGCGTCCCTCTCTTTTTCAAATTAAGTGTGTTTTTAAAATAAGCGGTTTTTGTTTGTTTGTTTGTTTTTTTTTTTTTTGAGAGAAAGAGAGAGAAAATGTGCACAGTGGGGGGAGGGGCAGAGGAAGAGAGAGAATCTTACACAGGCTCCATGCTGAGCTTGAACTCACAACCCTGAGATCATGACCTGAGCCAGAAATTAAGAGTTGGATGCTTAACTGCCTGAGCCACCCAGGTGCCCCTAAAGTAAACTATTGAAGTATAACATACATATAAAACAGTGCACAAACCATTAAGTATACAGCATGATAGACTTTCAAAAAGTGAACACCCCTATATAGTGAGCACACACCTTGAGAAACATTATTAATATTGTTTGGCAATGATACCTCATTAAAGCTGGAAAAAAATAAAATTACGATAAAAAAGGAAACCTTATTAACACCCTGCTATCGCTATTCACCTAAAGAATAACCACTCTCTTGATTTCTAACACCAAATATTTGTTTTACCTGTTTTTAAACATCATGTAAATGGAATTATACATTATGTACTATTTTGTGTCTTTCACTCAACATTATTTTTGTGAGATTCACCCAAGTTACATGAAACGGTAGTTTTAAAATTCTCTTTGCTGTATAACATTCCATCATATGAATATATCCAACTTATCCATTCTACTGTTTATGGGCATTTATGTTGTTTTCAGTTTTTGTCTATTACAATCGTATTGCTGTGAACTAGAGCATAACCTTTTCCACTACAGCCTTACTGAGGTACAACTTAAATACTTTATAATTCATCTATTGCTAAGTGTACAGTTTAATTAATTCTTAGTAAATTTATACAGTTTTGCAACAATTACTATAATTAATCACCCCAAAAGTATTTGTAGTCATTTCCTTCTTTCACTTCCAGTTGTAGAAAACCACTGATCTTTCTGTCTGTACAGTTTTGAATTTTCTAAAATTGCTTTTTAAAGATTTTGTTTTTAAGTAATCTTTACACCCAACATGGGGATTAAATATACAACCCTGAGATCAAGATTTGCATGCTTTACCAACTGAGCTAGCCAGGCACCTCAATTTTCTAAAATTTTCATATAAATAGAATGTAATCTTTGGTGTCTAGCTTCCTTTACTTAACATAGTTTTTTTAAAATTTTTTTAAATTTATAAATAATAGCTTTCTTTTCTTTCTTTCTTTCTTTCTTTCTTTCTTTCTTTCTTTCTTTCTTTCTTCATGAGAGACACAGAGGGGGGTGGGGCAGAGACACAGGCAGAGGGAGAAGCAGGCTCCATGTAGGGAGCCTGATGTGGGACTCGATCCTGTGTCTCCACGATTACACCCTGGGTTGAAGGCAGCGCTAAACTGCTGAGCCACCCGGGCTGCCGAATTTTTTTTTAAAGTAGGCTTCATGCCTAGTATGGAGTCCAACACAGGGCTTGATTGAATTCATGACCTTGAGATCAAGACCTGAGCTGAGGTTGAGAGTCAGACATCCAACTGAATGAGCCACCCAGGCGCCCCCATATTGGTTTTCTTTTTTTAAAGATTTATTTATTTATTTATTTTTAGAGAGTGAGGGAGGAGGAGAAAGAGAGAGAGAGAGAGTCATAAGCAGACTCCGTGCTGAGCACAGAGCCTGTTGTGGGGCTTGATCTCATGACCCTGAGATCAGATCTGAGTCAAAACCAAGAATTGGATGATTCACCAACTGTGCTACCCAGGCATCCCAACATAACTTTCTTTTTTATTGCTGAGTAGTATTTTATCAAAGTGATAATGAAATGTTGTGTTTGTCCTCTCAACTGTCAATAGGCATTTGGACTGTTTAAAGTTTGGGGTTATTATGAATAATGCTGTTACAGATATTCACATGCAAGTCTTTTTATGGACATAAGCTTTAATTTCTTTTGGGTAAATACCTAAGAGAAGGATAGCTGGATGAAATGGTAACATTTTAAGAAACTCAATTTCCAAAATGGTTGTACCATAGTACAGTCTCACCACAATGCATGGGAATCTGGTTTGTTTCCTACAAAGTTCACCATTTTTAGCTTACAAAGCCATAGCTCTCTGCCAAATTATTTACCATATTTTATAGATAAAGAAACAGGCTCAGAGAGACCAAGAATTTGACCTATATCCCATAGCTACTAAGCTTTATTTTTTGTTAGTTCACTAGTCATTCCATTTACATGAATTCACATGTATACTCATATCCTCAAGAGATTTCCACTCTGGCAGAAATAGATTATTCAATATTTTTGGTTCCCAGTGGAAAAGCTATATTTCAGGAAGAAGTTTTTTCGATCTTTTAAAAGTTCATTCATTTTAGAATGAGCTTGGATGCTTACCTGATACCCTATACAAAAGGATCAAAGACCTAAATGTATGGGCTAATACTAGAAAATTCTTAGAAAAAAACACAAGGAAAAAGGTTTTGAGGGGACACAAACATTCAGCTCATAATGTGTAGCTTCTATGGCCTTTCAGGGTCCCTGTTTTCCTCTTCATCCCCATCTCTCATTGCTTCCCTTTGGGTCTGCAACCCAGTCATACTGACAACTAGCAAAACTTGGATGCCTCTTGTTCTTGCCTTCCTTAGCACAAGCCTTTTCCTCTCCCTAAAATGACTTTCCCACCTTCTATTGCTTAGATAACATCTATCATGTCCTTTAGGTGTCTTTCTTTAAGAAGCTTCCTGGCCCCCAAACCAGGTTAGGTATCCCTAATCTATGTTACAGCTCTTAGATGCTTCATGCATATCTGTAGTGTGGCTTTTTATCACTTGGTGTAGCTTATTTGTCTTTCTTGCCCAACTGCTCTCTGCCTCAGTGAGCTGGAAGGCAGGATTGGCCTTGTTCATCTCAGCATCTAGTACGATGTGTGCCTTATACTATATGTACAATGAATGTTTTCCTTTGTATAGCACTCAGCAGTTTTCGAAGTGTCCTGACACAAATTAACTCATCTATAGAGATATATTTCCTTAACATTCATTCCTTCTGAATAAAATATTCCTTAAGAAAACATTACCTTTGGGACGCCTGGGTGGCTCAACAGTTAAGTGTCTGCCTTTGGCTCTAGGCGTGATCCTGATCTGGGGATCTGGTTCCGCGCTGGGCTCCCTGTAAGGAACCTGCTTCTCCCTCTGTCTATGTCTGCTTCTCTCTGTGTCTCTCAGGAATAAATAAATAAAATCTTAAAAAAAATATTACCTTTACTTACAAGATTTATGTGAAGTCAGTTATCCGTTATGTCACTAATGTGACTGAGTTGGGGCCTAAACTATGTCATTTTTGCTTGATACACCAGAAGAGTTTAAGAAAACTCTTTTTTTTTTTTTTTTTTTTTTTTGAGAGAAAGTGAGTGTGTGTGTTCAGGAATAGGGGAGGAGCAGAGGAAGAGGGAGAGAGAGAATCTTTAGCGGACTCCATGCTGAGCAAGGAGCCCAACATGAGCAAGGGCTCAATCTTAGGACCCTGAAATGGGTGATAACCTGAGCCAAAATCAAGAGTTGGACACTTAACCAACTGAGCCACTCAGGCGCCCCAAAGCAGATATCCTCTTAATGACTGATGAAGTAGGTGTCTGTGGGTGTGCAGTGTGGGATGGGTGCACAGAGCTAAGAAGCCAGCTTCCTTCTGTGGGCCTCAGCTGGTGATCTGACCATTTTGCAAGATCTCATCCCTAAGTTCCTGATGGCAGAAATTAGGGCCAGAACTAGGAAGGGCTTGCATGCTGTGGCTTAGAGGAAGCTGTTTCAGTTCTTAAAATCACTGAACTTTAGAGCTTTAGGTCATTTGGTTCAACCTCTGCCTTTAAGAAGTAGGGAAAGAGATCTAATATTTTGCCCAGGAAACTGTGGAAGACCTACCTCCCACCAATCTTGTTTTCCTTTTTCCAGAAGCCTGGACTCAGAGGTCACTGAGGTGCTGTTCCCAATCAAAATATCTCTTAGTAGAAGTGATCCCCTCTCTCTTTTGGTATCATCATCTGAATAGTTTACTCTGGGTAGAGGATGTGTTAATGTTATGTAGAGGGCAGGGCACCTAGGTGGCTCGGTTAAGCGCCCGACTCTTGATTCTGGCTCAGGTTGTGATCTCAGGGTCCTGCTTTCAGACTCCTTGTTTAGCAGGGAATATTCTTTTTAATTATTTATTTATTTATTTATGATAGTCACACAGAGAGAGAGAGAGAGGCAGAGACACAGGCAGAGGGAGAAGCAGGCTCCATGCACTGGGAGCCCGACGTGGGATTCGATCCCGGGTCTCCAGGACTGCGCCCTGGGCCAAAGGCAGGCGCCAAACCGCTGCGCCACCCAGGGATCCCAGCAGGGAATATTCTTGAGGATTCTCTTTCCCTTGCCTTTTGCCCTGTTTGTGTGTGCGTGTGCTCTCTCTCTCTAAAATAAATACATAAATCTTTAAAAAATATATTACTATGTAGAAATTCATGGAAGACGTAGTTCCTGCCCCTAGGAATTTATGAACTGAGACTAGGAGTTTAAGAATGATTTGTAGGGATCCCTGGGTGGCTCAGCAGTTTAGCGCCTGCCTTCGGCCCAGGGTGTGATCCTGGAGACTGGGGATCGAGTCCCACGTCGGGCTCCCTCCATGGAGCCTGCTTCTCCCTTTGCCTATGTCTCTGCCTCTCTCTCTCTCGTGCTCTGTGTCTCTCATGCTCTGTGTCTCTCATGAATAAATAAATAAAATCTTAAAAAAAAGAATGATTTGTACATGCCAGTCAAGTCAAAAGAAAGAGAATTTTTTTAAAAAGATTTTATTTATTTATTCATGAGAGACACAGAGATGCAGAGACACAGATGTAATACAGATGGAGAAGCCAAAGCCGAAAAAGGCAGAGCAGCCAGCCTGGGCTATGGGGGCATGTGGGACCACAGGCCCAGACCTGGCAAACAAGAAACCTGGTGAGAAAGGGACATTCTGTCCAAGAAAGAGAAAGGGGTGGAGGGAAAGGCTATGCTGTTCTCATTCCCACACCCTTTATTGAATTATAATAATTTTCCAAAAAACTGAATCCTGCTGCTTTAGGCTGTCAGCCTGCCATCACCCTCTTTTTCCCTAATCCCAGTACCCTTCAGGGGTCTCATAGACCATCTAGCTGGAAAGCAAGGACTGCGTGGGAGTGGGGCTTCTGTGAGTGCACGCCAGTCTCTGTCACCCCTGGCCCCCCAGCCCCTGGTTCCTTTGGTCAAACCTCTAGACAACCTTTCAACCTTTTAAAAACTGCTGTCAGTTCCTCCCTGTCTTGAGAAAATCTTTCCTAAGGTCTTGTCCTTACGTTTACATTGGTGAATATAAGAGCTTTTGCTTTTATAAATGGCTTTCATGTCCACCTTGTCACTTGATCCTCATAGCATCCCTGGTGAGATGGGAAGGAGGGGATTATTATTTCCATTTTATAGGAAAGAAGATGGAGTCTTTCTTCCCTCTTGATTCTCCAGTGTCATCAGGGAACAATTACAAATCTCAGCCTCATGCTGGTCCAGGTTTTCTCTCTCTTTCTCTTCTTTTTTTTTTTTTTTTGGTTTCATATTTTCTAGAATCTCAATGGCTTCTAAATGGCAGGAGTATTTCACATATGGCTGATGATCCACAGTTAACCAAAGGCTGCAGTCACAGCTATGTTGCTTTGGCAGTGTCTCTCCAAACCCCTTGTATCATGTGCCACTCCTGATTTCCAAGTATCATGTGCCACTCCTGTCCTGTCATGCTTTCAGCCTTTCCTGTACACAATTCATCATCTAATCAGATTGTTTTTTTTTTTTTTTAGAGGACATCAGTTTGCAAACTTTTGTTTTTATCCAAATGGAGGTTTTGGTTTATTCTCTCTTGCCTAAATGTTAGGCATCCAACTTAATAGGTCCCCAAAATTAATATAATTTATTTTCCGTCTTGTCAGTGCAAAACAAATGTGTTCTTAAGACAAAGCACTGAAGGCCAGAATCCTTCCTCCACTTCTATTTCTTGACTCAGCAGCAAGCAAACAGTTCTGTAAACATGTGTGGGTGTGTGTGAGCATGGACCCACTGCTTTAATGCATTCTTCAGTGGTTCTTGTTCCAGCAAAGTACCACATGGCCCTGCCTTATTCAGAATGGAGATTCCCGTAGCATCTGGACTTGCATCAAGGCCCGTTTCAGCTGCTCATAGGTCACAAACATCACCACATTCCAGGTTCCCAAACGCAAAAAGGATGGTGTAAATCTGTTGAGAGAAACAACCAAAACATAGGTGGAGCAGACTAAGAATCCTGAATATACCACCAGTGCTCCCCCTATTCACAGTGTCAATGCCAAAAGACCTAGGGTTCTGTTAGTCATGAGCATTTTCTGAGATCTTTTCAGACTTTTTTTCTCTACTGAAGGAATTTAGTCAGAGGCTGAAGTCAGGAAAGGAAAGAAAACACATTTTGAGCCAGGTTCTGTGTTAGGCAGTTAATTCCCACAATTCTATAAAGTAGCTATGATGGTTGCCACATTTCTTTTTTAGAGACTGAGGCCCAGGGGCACGTGGTTGGCTCAATTGGTTAAGCATCCAACTCTTGGTTTTGGCTCAGGTCATGATCTCAGGGTTGTGGATGGAGTCCTATGTTGTCAGGTTCCCTGCAGGGAACGTGCTTGGGATTCTCTTTCTCTCTCTTCCTCTCCCACTACCCCTCCCTCTGCTCACTCACATGCTCTTTCTGTCTCTCAAATAAATAAGTAAACCTTTGAAAAAAAAAAGAGCAGGAGGAAGAGGAGGAAGAAAAGGAGGAGAAGAAAATTGAAGCTCAGGGCAGTTGGGATCCCTGGGTGGTGCAGCAGTTTAGCGCCTGCCTTTGGCCCAGGGCGCAGTCCTGAAGACCCGGGATCGAATCCCACGTCGGGCTCCCGGTGCATGGAGCCTGCTTCTCCCTCTGCCTGTGTCTCTGCCTCTCTCTCTCTCTCTCTCTCTCTGACTATCATAAATAAATAAAAATTAAAAAAAAAAGAAGTTCAGGGCAATTAAGGAGCTCTACTAAAACTACCTGACTCCATATACCCTGCTGGGTATTTCTGGAATCATTTATATGCTGAGGGGCCATCCCTGAGGAGGCCCCATCAAGGCACCTTGAAGCTGGCACAACAGAGGGCAAAGACATGTCATCATGGGTGACATGATGTTTAGCTAATCTCCAGAGAGCCTACCTGTCCTGTGATAGCACAGCTGGGAGACAGTCCCCATCTCAGCTTTGTAGACTCAAGGTGGACCCTGTGACTGGACCTGCTCCCTCTTTAGCTCCTCTCTCTCTGCTAATCCCCTCCTGGTCCTTTCCTCTTCTGCCAGACTTGCTTCCATGCCTTTACCTGTGCTGATCCTTCTGCCTAGGAATGAACCCTACTCACTTTCTTGCCTGGCTGGTTGCTCTTGGTTCTATAGGACTCTGCTTGGGCACCATAGCCTCATACCAAGGTTTCTCCAGAACCCTCAGCCTAGGTTCCCCAGGGAGAATAGCACTGGGGCAATGAATGTGAACTTCAGAGTCAGACCTGGGTTCAAATGCTAGCTCTATCAGTTTCTAGCTTTATGACCTAGGATAAGTTACTTAATCTTTCTAAGCCTTAGTGACCTCATCTGTAAGATATTTACCTCATAGAGTTGTTGTGAAGGATTAAATGAGCTAATGTATAGTATACAATGCAGGGCCCAATATCAGTCAATGCTCCGTAAATGTCATGTATATGCCTGCTGCTCTTTGAAGACAGGTGGCTACTGCTGATGATTGTAATGATAGAAGCACTTATAGGAAAAGAACAGTCTGGCAGTTGAAATAGTTTTATTATATCACTCTCAGGTTTGAGAACTTGATTGCATGTTGGGTCCAATCTAACATTGCGTACCAGAAAATGATCTGCTGAAGTGGTGGGAGGTGTGAGGGCCAAGCCAAGAGCTTGGGAGTAGGATGGATGACAACATGTGGGGTGGCATCTGATAATCTGAGTTAGAGCCATGGCTCTGACATTTTAAATTTGTGATCTTGGATAAGGAAGTTGACCTTTCTGAGTCTCAGTTTCTTTCTCAGCAAATGTGGAGAATACTGCCCAGTACAGGGGGTTGTTGAGATAATCTATATAAAGTGCTTTGCATAAGGCCTTGTACTTAGTGACTTAGTGATCATGGTGACTGTTAATAACCTACATTATTGAGTGCTGGCTTTTGGCTAGGAAGATGAAAGACATATAAGCCACCAGTTCTGGCTTCAAGGAGCTTGTGATCTAGCATGGAGCATAATTTAAACTTACAAATCCTATAACACTAAGTAGGATGTGGTAAATGCCATAAAAATGGTATCAAGGTATTACTGCTGAAGTTCACAGGGAGGAAGAAAAATTTATACATGAGAGTGTTGGGGAGGTGGCTAGTTTGAACTAGTTCTGAAGTATGGCTAAGATTTAGAGCATGTACCATATATGGGAAAGGCATTTCATTAAGAGGGAATGATAAAAGCAAAGACACAGGAAATGTGACGATGTGTTTTGGGCATTTTGGCCACCATCAGTAGTGATCTATAGTCAGTGGGCTGGAGAAAAGTCTCAGGACTACCAACTACCTTTCCCTCTCTCTCCCTTGCCCAATAAATTTGGGCATAAATAGCACTTGGCGTATGCCTAGACTTCTTTTTCTCAGGTAAACCTCCCCTGATTCTCCAAATCAGATTTGGTTCACTTTTTTTTTTTTAAACTTCCATAGTTCTTTATATTTGTCCTTTGTGACATTTACATCTGTGCTGTTCACTGTCACATCCCTAGGTGGACCCATTGGTAGGCACATTATACATGGAAGGAAGGAAAGAAAAGAGGGAAGGAAACAAGCTCAGGTTCTCTGGGAAGGGATGTTGGATGCAGGAGAGGGAGCCTTACCCCTTATAGAAGGCTGTGGGGCCCTCTTGGGTCACCATCTTCAGCATACAGTCCAGGGGGCTGCGGTATTGGCCTGGGGGCGAGTTCATGTACCGGGTCTTCACCACATCCACTGGGGAGGCCACCACTGTGGCACAGAAACCGGCTCCAAAGGCAGAAATAAAGTGGCAGGGGAAATTGTCTGTAGCAGGGAAGGAAGGAGCAAATATCAGTAGCAAATAATAGAAAGGCCCCTTTTCTATTCCATGTGTGTCATCCTTTGTCTTTCACTAAACTGTGAACTCCTTGAGTGTAAGGATAGTGCTTTCTAAATCTCACACAGTATTTGCAGAATAGAACAGGGCTGTGCCACAGTTAGAAGGCTGTGCAGCCCAACGATCGCAGAGGAAAATGAAGTCAGAGAAGGCGACTCTTGCTTAAAGATGCATGATGGGATGTGCTGGGCTGGCATCCAGGACTCTGGCCTCCCTATCCAGGGTTCTTTCCCATTCATTACAATGAGCGACTGGGTTTTTTTTTTTTTTTTAAGATCTAATTGGCATTATTAAATGATTCATGAATTGGGCAGCACCCCATCTAACAAGTAGAGAGGCATTCCTGTACTGGGCATCTTTATTGGGCACTGCTCTTCTCTCTGCTCCATCTAATGCCCTGTTACCTCTGAGTGGTGCCCACTCTGTGGAATTTCAGGTTCCCTCCCTGCTGTGGGAGGGCAGCTGCCTGGAGCCCAGGGCCTCACCAGTGAGCAGGTGATAGTCTAGCAGCTTCTCCTTGATGATGTCATAGGTCACCATCTCAGCACAGTTGACGATGGCATTCCTTGTGATGTTGGGCAAAGTTCCTGTTAAAGGATGGAGTCGGGACTGATGAGTGAAAAATAGACATGGATTTTCTGGTTGCAAGGCCACAGGCTCCAGTTTGGGGGCAGAAGTCTCCATTCTAGTGGTCTCAGAGGAGCCTGCCTCAGTTGAGCAGATTCCACACTTTCTTCTCTGGGGTTAACACTTAAATTATCCATGTCTACCTCAGAGACAGAAAATAGAGAAGCCTTCTTATGTTTGTTTGAGCCACATTTTGGAGAATAATCTGCAATATCTACCAAGATTAAAATATGCCTCCCTGACAGCTGGATAAAACCGGGCAAGGAAGCCTTTGTTTGGAAGAGGGAGGCAAGGCTCTGGGTGACCCTGGAGAGCATCAGGACCAAGCTACTGACATCCCAGATGAGGGCTGGGCTTTGGGAAAGCATAAAGCAAATAAGGGTATGACCCAAAGGTCCTGCTTAACCACTGGGCCACTGTTTCTTCTGCAAGGATTTGTATGACCCCTGGTCCACAAGTGGGAGAGATTCCAGCATTTGTCAAGGTGACCTCCATTTGGACACATAGGGAACTTGAAAACTTTACTCCTGAGGAGGCCTCCTTCTTATCACTTCTCCCTGTACCCAACAACTCACAGCTGCCTCCTCTAGTGGCCTCTGTTCTCCATGTCCTATGGTCACCCCTGATAGAACTTTGTTGGGAAAGCCCTTCCCTTCCATCCCCACACACCTAGAGCCCACTGAGCCTTTGAGGCCCAGTTTATAGGTCACCTTCCCCTCAGAGCCTGCACAGCCTCTCCTACCTCTGGCCCTGTACCTGAACATGAACCTAGCACATCCTATCCTGTGGAATGGCTGCTCCTTGACATATCTCATCTCCTCTCTTTGTGAGAGCCATGAGGGGATGGTGGGTATCTTCTATTCATTTCTGTCTCCTGCACATCAACCTGCACAAGCTGAAGGGTTGACAAATTGAACTGAATTTGGGGCACTCTGGCAGGTCAGTGTGATAGTTTTGGTTGAGATGATCTTGCAGAATCACTGAAATATATCATCCTGGGAGTTCCCTCCTTACTCAGTTCGCTGCCCTAGCTCAGGGGTGAGGAGTGCTCTGCCCACGACCCTGTGAGCCTCGAGTCCAGGCCTACCTTTCCATAGGCCCCTGACCCCTTCTTCCCTGGCGATGGTCCTGTAGGCATCCATTGTCCCACTGTACTTCCTGTTGCTCCCTGCCCCAAGGTGTATGCTGGCCTGAAATCGGACCTTCACCACATCCGTGGGCTGGGCACATGATACTGCCATGGCTCCTGTGGTACAGCCTGCCAAAATCCGCGTAGTGATGCTGGAGTCTGGAGAGAAGGAAAGAGAGTAGGTCGATGTTCTATTACCTACACTTTTCTGGGCTTGATGCTGTTCTCTGTGGGCCTGCCTCTGCCTGAGGCCTGCCTCTTCTTCTAGGCCAGGGTTCTAGAGAGGCTCAGCAGATTTCTGACAGCAGCTCATTCTCCTTGCGAATGTCTATTACCACCCTTCTATGCCCCAGTTCTGCCTCTAAGTCTGTACTGCCCTCATCTCTGATCTAGTAGCCTAGAGTCTGCTTCTGCCTACCCCCTTGGTGTCTACAGGATACCAGGCACTCACGGTCTGATCCTTTGGGGGTGTAGAACTGCTTGACAGAGTCATAGAGGCCAATGCGGATGGAGGCAAAGCTCATCTGGCGCTGCAGGCCGGCGACCAGCCCGTTGTAGGGGCTGCGGAGGCCCTCGGTGCGCACCATGGTCAGGATGGTGCCCAGTACACCACGGTATTGGATTCTCCGGGCTGCCTGTGTTGCCTGGTTCTCCCCCTGGATCTGAGGAACATCCCAGCAGAGGTGTGAGGAGCTGGGAGGGGGCAGATGGGGCTGGGTGCAGAAGGACCTGTCCAGGGCTGGTTCTTGAGAACAAGTAGGATTATAGTCATCATATCCCAGTAAAAACAGCTGAGGTCATCAGTGTAGAGCTCACGAATTGTTATACGTGGTGTGATGCTCAGCCTTCAGAGCAAATGGAGGACATATTGTTTTTCCCACAACAAGTGATTAGTGTTTTGTCCAAGGTCACAGTTACTTTTACTTTACACTTTATGGTTTACGAAGTAGGACAAGGCCATGAAGGGCCCAAGGAACTAAGATTTTTTTTTGTCTTGGATGGTGAGGCAGGATTATAAGCAGCAGAGTGAGTGGCCTGCTCAGAGTTCTGTGTGAAAAAGAGCATGCGGGCAGACACAAGAGGTGCTGGAGTGGAGAACTCAGTCCCTCTTTTGATCTGAACAATGACCCTTGTCAAAAAGCACCTACCTGCAGGCGAACCTTGGCTGTGTCCAGTGGAAAGGTGAGGAGATCAGCAAAACAGGCCGCTGTGCCTGCCCCCAGGAATTTCACAGCTGTGGTAGGGGGTACCTCTGAAGGCTTTAGTCCAACCATGGTCCCAGAAGGTTCTGCTTGGTCCCTCCAGGGTCCAGGTGAGGTCCAAGAAGAGAGGCCACTTTGCAGCCCTGAGCTTTAGTGCAGGGAGGAGGCTGCAGGAGACAGGCCGGAGGAGGCAGATTGACCTTGCCCATCCGGACCTGTCCCCAGGCTCTTTCAGCACTGGGAGAAGCTTTAGTAAGAGAAAAGCCTGGGCACTGCTATGCTTAGCTGAGGGGATTTGGCTTATAGAATAGGTCACTTTCCCATCTCTTCTCTCTTGTGATCCTCACCCTCTCTTCCTCCTCCCTCCGCTGACCAGGTGGATCTTCATCCTTTAGAGGAGGAAACTGAGGCTCAGGAAGGGAGCAGACCTCATTCTGACTCCAACCACCACCCTGTTCTCCGTCCCCTGCATCAAGCTGCTCCCTGAGAAGGACCTGCTCCCTGAAGTGTACAGAGAGCCTACCAGTCTCTCCACTTCAGGTCCTTCTGTCCCAAATCAACAATATGACTGTGCCTTGTGACTCACCTAAACTGTTAGTTATCTTGGATGAAAGCCTGTTTTTTTGCAAGACTGCCTGAATACACTCTTATTATACTTAAAATGAAATCCTTCCCGGCCTGTGATTCCTTCTCTGTCACTAGAGATTGTTAATCTATGATTAGAGATGTTTCCTCCCCACACTGTGGGATTTCTGGGGCTAGTATTCTGCTTTGGAGGAGGGAGGGAGACTGGTCCTGGGCTCCTTTGCTGCCCTGCCTCCCCAGAGTTTCTGGGGAGATGGGGTACAGAGTGTCCTGCTACTAATATTGGGGGCAGTGGCGGCTGATCTGCCTGGCTCAGCACATGCCTTTTTCCCCCTCACACTTCTGAGTGTATCCCTTCTCAGCTGAAGAGAACGAGTTTCTCAGACAGAGGAGGATCAATCTTGGATCAAGAGAAGGTGCCCCGTCTCCCAGTGTGCACTCATGCCTGCGCCCATCCTACTGTGGGCTGACCAGGGGCACGTTTGCAGCTGAAGGTCCTGGCTTAGCTGTGGTTACCTCGGAAAGCTGTCACACCTGTCATGGGCAGTGCTGCATTCTTATAACCTGTACTGCTGTGCATCAGGTTTTGGTGCTGATGCCATTTCTTAGGAGGTCACACACCCTGGTGCCCAACTCACACATACCTGTAGCGTGCTGGGATCCTGGACTCTTAAGTGACCTCACCCCTGGAGCCCGGGCCAGTCCCACAGAGCTGTGAAGTGGGCACAGTGTATGTGCCCTTCTTTATGGGGCAATAAGAAAACTCTGGTCCTGTGGTGAGGAGACCGGAGCTGCCTAGTCTTCATGGCTTACTAATGGTGGTGGGAACTTGGCAATATCATTTAACTTCCTTGGGTAAATGAGAATAATATATTACCTGTTCACCAATTTATCATTGGATGCAAAAAGATAAGGGTGACCACTCAAGTCTTTCAGGACTGACATTTAGAACTCTGGTGCTGTCCTCTCAACCTACATGGTACCTAAACTCTTATGCTTGCTGCCAGCTTTCCCTAAAAAGCCTGTTCTTAAGATGAAACTGATGTTCTAATTCATGCTAAAGTGTAAGTGATTATCTTAGCAATCAGATATTTTTGACCACTATAGCAGGTACTAGGGAAGGAAAGATATGGAATAAATCGGGTTTGGCCCTGGCCCTCAGGGAGCTTGCAGATGGGTGTTGAATTAGCTAGGGAATTAAGGAGGTGGGATGGAGGAGGAAAGGTTGAGGTTGGAACTCACCAGCCACTGGATCCCAGTCTAGAAGCCTGGGTCATAGTGTGGTGGGACAACTTTTAAATCATGCCCAGAAAAAGGGGATGCTTTTATTATTTATTTATTTTTAAAAAGATGATTATTTATTTATCTGAGAGAGAGAGAGAGAACAAGCAGAGGGAGCACTTATTCAGAACAAAGTCCTTGCCATGGTTGGCGGACTCTTTAAGATCAACCTCATGCTGGGTTCTTGGAATTCCAGGGATTCTGAGGATAAACAAAAAGAGTCTGTGCCACTTGCCCACAAGGAATTCCCCAGGAGTTCTGTGGGGGCATCAGACACACCTACAAATAACTAGTGCAGGATGGGTTGGACGAATGTCAGGGGGCAGGAAAGCACCAAGAAGCTACCCAAAGGAGGAGGAGGCCCTGTCTTTTGTTTGTGAGGTGGGATAAGAACGAACTCATGGTGGGGGGGTGGGAGGAGGGTCACATAAGTTAGGCTTTGAAAAGTGAGCAGGATTTCAGCAGCTGAAGCAGGAAGGGTGTTCCAGATGCAGGGAAGGCATGAGCTTGTGTCAGAGCCCAGCGCATGGATTCAAGTAGGGAGGAGGAGAAAATGACCACCTGACTGTGAGGCCCTCTGTAGAGTTTTACACACAATCCCATTGAATTTTCACAACTTTCCTGAGAGGTAGCTGCTCCTTTCCCTTACTTTTGGATGAGCAAACCAAGGCTTTGAGACATTAGCTTGCTAAATATACCAGCGACTAGTGTCAGATCCTGGTTCACTCTGTTATACTAGGCTCAAAAGGGCCTTGGAAAGAAGGCAGGGCAGCATTTAAATCCTTTTTATGGATGAGAAAAAGAGGCTAAAGAGGCTTAAGATGGAGAGAGACTGGTTTAAAGGCACAGAACCTCAACTAAATTCTTCTGATGGCGATGAGGCCCCTTCACCTTTCCCCTAGAAACCCCAGTGGGTATGGTAGTATGGATTTCCAGACCTCATCTTTTTTATTGAGGGCATTCAAAGCCCTTTGCAGTTAATGAATTATTTGCACACCCATCTGAGAATTAATGCTACAGAACAACAGCTTGGTGAGGAATGCTGCCACCAGCTTGGCAAATGAAAATGGCCTGAGAGGCTGAGACCTGTGTGTGCCACACAGTCAGGCCTTGGGCTCCCTCTGCAGTGCTCCTCCCACAGCCTGTTTTCCTGCTTTTCTGTACTGCCTCCCTGAGGGTCCAAGAAGGATCTGGCTCCTAGGGGTGGTGGTGTGGAGCCTGGCTGAGGGGACAGACTGCAGCGTGCTAGGAGAACCCTGCCCTCCACTTGCCTCCTTCCCCTTTCCCTTTGCTTACAGGAGACCAGCAGCTGCCAGGAGGGCTCAGTTCCCAGCAAGGAGGCTCTGGCTCCTCTGTCTGGGGCTGGAATGCATGTGCAGGTGTATGCACGAGCAGCTGCCTCTCTTGTTTCAAGCCATGGCATTTCCTCTGCTTTTCCTCTTCTCTGACGTGAGCTGGACTGCTCAGAGCCCCAGCATCAGGAATGAGTGCCTGACAATCAGGGTTAGGGAGGCCCTTGGGGATTGTGTTCTCTAATGTCTCTTACTGGTTGTAGGAGTGTCCTTTCTTCAAAGCCTTTGGTAGCCACTCAGACTCTAAGGAAGAATCCTAAGAGTTAGGTATTTTTACTCCACTTGCAGAGTTGTGAACGGAGGCCCAGACAGTTGAAATGACCAGGCAGAGGTCACATAATGAGCAGAAGTGGGATTCCCACCAGGGCTGTGTGACTGATGCATTCTCTGCCTTTACTCCAGCCTCCTGAATTGATACTTGAGGAAACCTAGCAGGCAGCAGAACTTTTGCCACTGGCAAAGGTGAAGTTGAGAGCAAGAACTCTTCTCTCTGTAGCTCTGCTGGGGCTCTTGATGGATGGATGGGGTGTTCTTGCTATGTGGCCATGGTAGTAGTGCCCCATTAATGTCTGCTCAGTGCTTCTTGCATGAGGCACGGGGCTGAGGGCTTTATAGGTATTGACTAATTCAGTCCCTTTATAAGGCTATGCGGTAGTGGTCACAGTGATTCCCACTTCATAAACAAGGGACGTCAGGCTCCAAGGGCTTCCGCCAATCATAAGACTGAAGGGATGGGGCTGGGATTGGAGTCCTGGTCTGTCTGACACCGTGCCTGTTTCAGGGTCCAGAGCCTCACATTTCAGGGAGAGCTCAGGATCCCTGGAGCTGCTTGTTTACAGAGTGGATTCTCAGAGGCCCTCCAGGCCAGATATCCTGATTCAGGTGTAGGCTGGGGCTGGGGTAACTGTTCTCCATGGCAGCTCTGAAGCAGGGGTCAGGGGACCCCGTTCTGAGATGCTCCGCCTGGTCTCACCCTCCTGGCAAAGCCTCCACAGCATCCCCGCGGAGGAAGCCGCCTGAGTAAAGAGTTCTGGGGGCTCTGCAAACCTCCCTGGATATAAGGCTAGAAGTGCCTGTACCAACTCTACCCAGAAAAGGGGTCCTCAGGACCCTCATGGGGAAAGGGCTTAATGCTCTGGAGGGGTTCTGGAGATTCTGTGCCACACTAAGGAGAAAGCCACTATTACTTATGGAGATTTGCAAAATCACAGCAGAGGCAGCCAGCAGAAAAGGGAAAGTGAGTTGTGCGTGAGTGACACAGGTGTGGGGGTGTGACACAGCCCAGCCACAGTGTCCCCTCGTCAGGGTTGCAGTTCTCCCTTTCTTGACGTGGCTGGGGAGGAACTAAATCTACCAGCCCTGTAGTGACCCCAGATTGGTGTCCCATCAGCTCCAGACTGCTCTCTGTAAGCTAAGGGCAGCACATGGAGGGGAAAGGGGTGGTGGAGAATGGGGTCTTACCTGTGAGTCAGCCAGGGTCGGGGAAGCACAGGGTTCCCTTAAGGCTCCTTAGGGCTCCATCCCTGGAGGTGGCAGTAGGGATCTAGTTGCCCCCTTGCCATTCACTGTTGTCTCTGCTGCTTCTGGCTTGGCACCTATCTTTATACGTTCCAGCTGACCTGAAACCTTAGCCCACAGAAGCTTAGTTGACAGCTTGATCACTTGACAAGAGGTGGCTGGCTGGTGAGTGGCAGGGAGGTGAGGGGAAAGGTCAGAGTTCCAGATCTGGTTTAGTTCCTCTGACTTGTGGTTCTTTAAAATAGCTCCTTCCAGCTGCTGGAAGAGCTACCTCAGGTAATAAGGGTAACATATGGGGATAGGGGTTGGATCTGTCACCTTTGAGAATTCAAAGGTCAGGGCCACACACGATAGGCTGGGCAGGGCTCTCCTAATATTAAGTAGGCTCTTGGTGCCTACTATGTGCCAGATACTTTATATACATTATTTCTGTATTTCACAACCCTATGAGGTAAGTACTATTAGGATTCTGTTTATTTATGTGTATTTTTAAATATTTTATTTATTTATTTTTATTTTTTTTAAAGATTTTATTTATTTATTCATATGAAAGACACAGAGAGAGAGGCAGAGGGAGAAGCAGGCTCCATGCAGGGAGCCCGATGTAGGACTCGATCCCCGGTCTCCAGGATCACGGCCTGAGCCAAAGGCAGGCGCCAAACCGCTGAGCCACCCAGGGATCCCCAATATTTTATTTATTTGAGAGAGTGTGCACAAACAGGGGTGGGAGTGGGCAGGGACAGAGGGAGAGAGAGAGAAGCAGACTCCCCGGCTGAGCAGGGGGGCCGACCTGGGCCTTGATCCCAGGACCCCAGGACCCTAGGATCATGACCTCAGCCAAAGGCAGATGCTTAACTGACTGAGGCACCCAGGATTCTGTTATTTAATTTTTTATTTTATTATTATTTTTTTGAATTTTTTTTTAAATAACAGCCTTACTGAGATATAATTCACATATCATACAATCCACCTATTTAATGGATACGATTCAGTGGTTTTTAGAGTTCGGTTATGCAACCATCATCACAATTTTAGAATATTTTCACCACTCCCACCCACCACCCCTTAATATCCCTGTGAATATCAGCAGTCACTTCCCTTCTTCCCTTCCACTCAGCCCCAAGCAATCACTAATCTACTTTCTGTCTCTATTGTATGATTTCTGAACCTTTCATATAAATAAAATCATATAGTATGTGACTGGCTTTTTGCAGTTAGCATAGTACTTTCAAGATGCATCTGTGTCATAGCATGTATCAGTACCTCATTCCTTTTTTATTGCTGAGCATACTAACATTTGTAATACTTATTTTACAGAGGAGAAAATGGTGTGAGGGAGGGACAAGGACTTACCCAGGTCCTACTGGTAGTGTATGGTAGGGCCTACCTATAGCCCTTAAATTATAACATCCTATGCGCTGTGACCATTACCATCTGAGACATGACATTTGGAGGCTTCAGCACGAATGCTGCTGAAGGGAGCCACAGGGCGCTGGGAAAGGTGTGTGAAGCACAGCCTGCAGAGTCCCTAGCAGTTGCTACTGTGGGCACTGAGGGGGAAGGGTGGGGCACATCTGAACCTGGGATCCAGGTGACATAGGAAAGAGGTGGGTAAGGGGACAGAAGAGGAGAGGGGGAGGGAGAGGGAGGGGAGTTACCTAGGTGGGGCAGAGGGGTAGGCAGAAGCCATTTCTGGATTTGAGCCCAGAGCCATGGCTGCAGGGCAAGTGGTCATGAGTCCAGACACTCAAGTGCAAAGCCAAAGCTGTGCCTGTCCTCTTCCTTAGAACAGGCCCTGCCCTAACATCAGCAGCACAGGCAGTTGTGTTAGCGTTTATAAGGGAAGGGGCTGCTAGGATTGCTGAGGTTGCGCTCAGGAAGTAGGTTCTGGGCTCTAACTGGAAATGCCTGAAGGTGGTGGGTGAATTGCAGCAGGTACATGGTGTGGGATAAAGAGTAGGAGCTCAAGGGACACCTGGGTGGCTTAGCGGTTGAGCACCTGCCCTTGGCTCAGAGCATGATCCCCCGGTCTCAGGATTGAGTCCCACATCAGGCTCCCTGCCTGGAGCCTGCTTCTCCCTCTGCCTGTGTTCTCTGCCTTTCTCTCTGTGTCTTTCATGAATAAATAAATAAAATCTTAAAAAATAAATACATAAAAATCTTAAAACAAACAAACAAAAAACAGTAGGAGCTCAAACAAGGAGGCTGTGGGCCCTGGAGTACCCAGGAGGACTCAGCTTACATGGGCCTGGGAAGCTTCTTGAGGGCAGGGCTAGGTGTGTCTGCTTTGGCTCCCTGTCCCCAGAATCCAATAGGCGCTAGAAGTTCCAAGGTTGGTTTTAAGGTGGCTGGGTTCAACAAGCATCTGGGGATCAGAAACACCCATTTTCAGGTCTCAGCAGGGACAGTGCCTGAAAGGAAGTGAGGGAGTTGATGGTTAATTGTCAAATGTGTACTTTATACCCTTAAGCCAGGCTGCATGGCTTATACCCTTGCAAGGCATTTCACCTCTGAGCTGTCACCCAGAAAGAGATCCAACTTTCTGGGAGAAGATACTGGTAAATAACACCCTTTTAAAGTGTAGGTGGTGGTTTACAGGCCCTTAGGGTGCCCTTGTGTTATTGGGGGCTGCCTTGGCCTGGATAGGAGAAACCACCTGGGTAGGAACAGCCCATGTCCTCCTGTGGCCTTATCCTAACTTGACCCAATCAGGTTATTTACAGAAGCTGGAACAGGATTTGGAAGGAATATTCTTCATCTGAGGCTTAACCCCTCAGGTCTGGGCCCCTGACTGCCCCTCTGTCGGTTCCATGTGGCCTTAAGGGAGGTGGAGTCCTGTGCTTTGAAAGCTCCACTGTCAACCTTAGAGGAAGGCACTGGGGAGGGGGTGAGCTGGCCGGCTGAAGGTGGGGTGGGGGGAGATGAACAAATGAAGGGGAACAACCTGGTCTGAGGGCACTTCACTGATGAGGGGGGGCACTCTGTCCCTCCTTGGGATTCCTGCATTACCCTGTACCCTCTAGGGCACATCCTTCCTGTCTCAAGAGTTGTTGGTGTGTTTGCCTATCTGCTGGTCTCTGGAAGCTTCAGGAGCTTCAGGAGAGTGGGGGAGGAGTGGGAGGAGCTGACATTTCCTCAGCTTTCACTAAGTGCCAAGTGCAGGCGAAGCACTTTCACAAATGTCATCTCATTTCATCCTCACAACCACCCCAGGAAGTGTTATTATCTCTGTTTTACAGATGAGGCAACAGAGGCTCAGATAGGACAGTCAAGCCAGAGGGGACCTATCAAGGAAGTGGCAGAGTCAGATCTGTCTCTTCTCTATCCCCAGTGGCATGTGGCCCTTAGTGCCCTCCAGGTTCTCTCTCTGGGCTCATCCTCAGACTTAACTTTTCTAGAAAGTCCACCCTGGTTGCTCCAGCCCACATGGTATTTCTCCATGAATTTCCCAGATTCAGAGCACTCGGCTCTTCCCTGTGTGCAGAAGCCTTGTGACATCTCTGGAAATGTTTTGTGTGGTGATTCATTTCCTAGCTACATGAACAGAAACATACATGACTTAAAGTTTCAGTTTAACTATAAAATGGGTATCATGATCTGCAGGTTATAGAGTTGTTTTGAGGACTAAGCGAAATGACCTGTGCTTAGGGAAGAAAGTGGGGCCCTTCACTTTAGTTCTCCTCCAACTTTCTCTTCCAGTCACTCTGTGCATCATTGTCCCTTTCATTTTTTTTTGGCAAGGACATCCTTTATTCTGGCTTAGCTGTTCACTTTGGAGAGATATTGGGTACCAAATGGTATGTTTTTTAAAAAATATTTTCTTTTTAATTTAAATTCAATTAGCATATAGTATATTATTAGTTTTAGAGGTAGAGTTCAGTGACTTGTCAGTCTTATATAACACCCAGTGCTCATTATATCAGGTGCCCCATCCCCCCCACCTCCCTTCCGGTGACTCTGTTTCCTATGATTAAGAGTCTCTTATGGTTTGTCTCCTTCTCTGATTTAATCTTGTTTTATTCTTCCCTCCCTTCTCTATGATCCTGTTTTGTTTGTTAAATTCATACAAGTGAGATCGTATGATAATTTTCTTTCTCTGATCAACTTACTTTGCTTATCATAATACCCTCTAGTTCCATCCGTGTCATTGCAAATGGCAAGATCTCCTTTTCATGACTGAGTAGTATTCCACCGTGTATATTTACCACATCTTCTTTACCCATTCATCTGTTGATGGATCTTTGCCCCTTATCTTCTCTACAGGCCCTGTCTATAGTAGCTGCTCAACTGTTTGTGGAGTGTGACAGTCTTAAGCCAGAGCTATCCATCCTGGGGAGATCAGGGATTCTGAGCAGACCTGTTCCAGGAGACCCTTCCACTTTGCTGATGGATTTGAGGCATAAGCAAGGGAAATATGGTGTCATTCAAATCTGGACCAATCTGATCTCTCACCATGAGACTTCATGTTGACCCTGGCCCCCAGTTTCAGGTGAGCTTAAGGGACTATATGGTTTTTAAACTTTCCTTTGGCTGTTAGAGCACAAATGGATTTCTAACACCCAGGGCTAGTTGGCCAACCCACAAAACAACCGTGTACAGAATATAAATACCAATATGATTTTATTCAGACACAGGCAGGAACAATGACCTTCAGAGCTGGGTAAAAACAATAAGTTAAAAGCATGGTTAGAATTTCAGATAATCAGATAAAAAGTCTAAAGGAGGTGATTTCCCCCCTCTTTTTCTATTGATTAATTCAACACAGCATAAAAATAATTTATATCTACAAAATATCCTTATTTCTAAGTAAATCAACTGGAGGTGGCCCTGGATTTCCTCAGCTATGCACAATGCATACAATCTTCATCCCGTCCTCTACCCCACCCAAACTTTAAGGCAAAAATGGCCAAAGAAGGTGGGCTCATGTCAGTAGTAGGCTATCTAAGACACTGGAAGGAGTTTCTCAGCCGAGAGATGCCTGGTTGGGTCTCTTGGTCAAAAGATGGGTGGTTCCACTTGTGGACTGGAGTCTACTTTGATTCTAGCTGTTGCCTCACCATAGAAGGAATGAGCTGAAATCCTGGCACGTGGACTTTGGATTGGTTTGGG